TATAATTCAAAAGGAAGCCCCAGTCCAAACAATTTACAAATCTCCCCCACCCCCCTCCGACCTTTCTTAATAGATGGGGGCGAGGGGGTGATTGATTACCGTCGAATAGAGCCCCGACTTCGCGTTCCCCCCAAAGAGACCGCCTCACTTGTTAATCGCCTCTAAAATGTCGGATATACGCATCAGATCCATAATTCCCGTAATTGATCTAGACTCCGCTCCCGTCGACAAGATTTATAAATTTCTTTCAAGAAGTCATTCATCAGCAGTTAAATGGCGAAACGGCGGGGGCGGGGGTTGCATTTTGAGTGCCCCCGTCGGCCCCGCTCCGTCGTTTTATTTATTTTGTTATCGCTTCGGACAAATGGCTCGCAGTCGGAGGTCGTTAAGTCGGCTATCCGAGTGTCACCGCCAGAAATAAGAACGTCCGAAGTATGCCGCGGTTCGTATTATAGCGGGGAAATGTTTTAAATATTTCACAGCGGCACGATGAAACGAATTATTTCCCCTTGGATACGAAAAAAAAGTTCTATTAAATGGTCCAAAGATTTCGTAATAATATATTTTTGCTTTCACGTAATCTGGGACTTTATTTGTTACTTCTGAAGATGCTGCTACGTTCTGGAACTTGCTAACGTTTCGCCAATAATCCTGCTGGCTTCTTCAGAGCCTAAATAGTTTTGTAAATAGTAGAATAAATGTTTCACGGATCGATCTGTATCTTATTTCCAATCATATTTAAACAATAGGCAGCAGTTCGTTGTTTCAGGAGTGTCATAGGGTTCAATTATTGGACCTCTGTTGTATCTCTCATACACATTTGAAATGTGTACGAGAGATACAACTGTTACACACATTTCACTCAACAAATTATGATAACGTCGAAGATAATCTTAGTTTGGATCTTAAAATTCTTTCTCAATATAGTAAAAAACACAATCTTAAGCTAAATTCTGTGATCAAAATCTTAAACTTTCAAATGAAGCAAAAAAGTTAGGAGTGATAATGGATATAGTGGCCACATTTCAGATGTATGCAAAAGGACTTCTGCATCCCTCAAAACGCTATATACAAATAAGCATATATTGAATTTTAAAGTGCAAAAAAAAACTCTGTGAGGCATGTATATTTTCTAAGATTATATACTGTCTTCCATTATACTATCCATTGCTGATAAAACCGGATTACAAAAACTGCGGAACAGCTGTGTCCGATTCATTTATACTTTGAGAAAGTATATCAGAAAAAATATTTTCCTTGAAATGTCTCAAAACTAAATACCTGTTTCAATTCTTCTTCTTTACCAACGTACCTGAAAGTTTTTTTTGACGATTTGGACGCTGCTTTAGCTATATTGCCATTAAGCTTTGCAATAATTACAATTAATATTTTGAATCCGGCTCAGTTCTAATATTTAGGAAAAATTTAAACAAACTAATATTTTGCCAATTGTATTAAGTAATTTTCTTTCATTTCATTCTTGTTTCCGTTTTATTAATAGCCTTTGAGTCGAGATAAAGCGTCTGCATCATGTGTCCCGTTATCTCAGTTGTTGTGGTTGAATACATTGCAAAACCTTCCTACTATTTTCATAAAATCGGTAATTTTGTTTTGATCTTGAAGAACGCGGAGGACGCTGAAGTTACTGACTTCTACTACTTACAAAGATATATTTTTCAATGCAAATTTATGGCGTGCTCCCTTAAAAAAACTTTTGCGAATAGAAACCTGTGAAGTGGGGACTTATTAAACAAAAATTATAAAAAATCATTAATGATGGTTTTAGCAGTTTTTGATAAACTTTTATAGACCCGAAGTCAGCTGCTCTACTTTTCTGTGTCTGTTATACAGTGGTTGGTTAGATTGGAATAAACAAAATATTTACTATTTTCTCACTGCATTTTGATCACAGTAACACTAGAAATTACTTCAAACATCCACAACGCTAAATTTCGGAATTTTATATCCCAACGTATGGCCTAAATATCACACGGCAGAGTACTGATAGCAATAAGTCACGTTGCCGTCGAAACCACCGGCGTCTATTAGAAAACCCGTCGATGCTATAAAATATCTACTGCGCAATGCATCTCCTTTAGTCGGGGGAGCCGAATTACATGTAAATTTTCTTTTGTCTCGCAGGGCGTAAAAGTTGTTCATTCGATATTCTCAATTCGCCAAAGCGTACAACAGCACAAAGAAAAGTGATGTAATCGAAAACTTCGTCTGCACGGGGTGACGAGAATTTGGTATGCCAAACTAGACCAGCAAATTCCATGTTCAGTTCTCCATATAAACACCCACTAATATGTATTCAAGTAAATCGTGTTGATTAGGAAAGCCGTAGCTACGCACATTTTTACAGTAGACATAGTAGAAGGATTCTGTTCCCCGTAAGTTATTAGGTTAGTGGGTGTTAATTATATATCACATTATGTTTTTTAGCTTAAAATATAAACGGTGTTAAAGAGATCAAAAGAATCACAGTGATGGTACACACAAGAAAGCCATTTCACGTTGACATTTTAGAAATACAAAGAAATCGTCAAACTTCCATTGTCTTTATTTAATGTTTACACAAGACTGACACGTTGTGTAAATATAAAATAAAGGCAATGGAAAGTCGACAATCTCTTAGTATTTCTACTGAATCATTGTCTACCACCTTCAAGCAAACATTGAAATTTTACACACGAGTTCAAAAGGACGATTCCTAATTTTTTTTTTTAATAAGCAAACAACCTTATTTTACTCTTTCTTGGACAAGTGACCTTCCACAGGCAACAAAATCATTGCACTAGATTTCATAAAATATCACTTATAGAAGTTTCTATCGTGATCCCTTGCCTTGGTAAATCCGTAACACTTAGGGCCACTTATTAAACATAGTTACCGAACTCTGACTAGATTATCCTCTCTAATTTCCTGGAGGGTTTCTGCTTTGGTTACGCCCGACAGCTTGTTCCGTACTCCTCACATTTACTTATCTTCTTTTAGTAGACTTGTCATTATGCCTTCCATGTTTCTTGTAGTGCCTAAAATGTCCGCTATAGATTTGACTTATTAATTTAGGAGAGAGTACAGTGGACACAACTAAGTTGTTTATTAGAATTTTCGAACAGTTTCACAAATTTTATTAGTGTTACTTCACTTGGAAGATGATTATACGAGGTGATACTCGAGTATAAAGGAGACTTTAGTGTTAGTTACATGTAATGAATTTTTTGTATTTGTTTTCGCATACAATACATTTTTCAAGATGAAAATGAAAGGAACCGTAAAAATTTATTGAATTTTCAACGCAAACAACTCTATCAGTTCGAATAGACCACAAAATGAACTATTAACTTTTATATAAACTAACTATAAACTGCTGGATTCCTCCTGCTGAGTCGGACTTGCTGACGTTTCGCCAATCATCCTGTTGGCTTCTTCAAGTTCTGAAGATGATTGGCGAAAGATTTCGACCCAGCAAAAACCGACGCAGAAATTTTGTAAAAAATATTACAGTAGCCTGTGGAAGTTTCGGTGAAAAATCTATTGTTTTTTTGAAAACTTACTCTCGAAGTCGAAGTTGCGATAACACATACGATTACGTTTTTCTAGTGCTGGAATTGAATCACAAAATGCGCGATTGTATCCGCTTCGAGCAGACTTTTGGCATATTCTACCCGATTTGAAAGTAATTAACTCCACTGAACAAATAAAACAACAACTGCAAAGAATAATGCATGAAGTACGGCTTTGGTAGTTCCCGTAGATTTTGCAGTATATGAACTTCGGAAATAAAGCGAAACAAGGTAGTTTCCGCGTCGAAGTAAAACAATTTGAGGGGACTTTTATGAGTATTTAAACTGAAACAAACATCACATCGTGCCATGACGGCGAACGAAGGGAGATGATTATAGGAAAGCAGTTTCTTCCTTTATGTTTACTTTTTCCTTTCCGTTCCGCCTTCGTTTCTACGTTTCAGGGTTTCGGTTGTCGGCAGTGTCGCTAATCGAATTTATTACGACGGCGTTATAGTCCCCACGGGACGAGCCCGAAATAATTTCGGATAAATTTAGTGATGCGGGGACCAAACGACGATACCGTCGCAATCGCACAACAGGTTTCCTTTTCCGATGGTATTTCTGTCAAACAATCCGACGTACTTCAGAACCTAAGAATAAAACCCATTAATAATCGTAACATTAACAAAATTGTGTCCCGAATTGAATTCGGTAGCAGGGGGCCAAAAATGTCAGACATCTGGCACAGGCAGATACCGTTACAGCCCATTACATGAACAGACAACGTCAGACAACGGCAAGGAAAGGCTGAATTAGGCAGAAACGGAAACCAAATCTTGCTAGCGTACATTTTGCTTACCCGAAAAGCAATTTTTACATTTACTTTTCAATGTCAATGGCATTAAAGTCTTGTAAGGAGACATATTGAATATTCGTATTTGGTATGAGAAATGATCTAACCAGATATGGTGAAATATGAGATTTACGTCTAACTCCATATATCAGTCTAAGACAGGAGTTTTGACCTTTTTTAGCGACCTAACCTAAAATTTACTTGTAACGTACTCTCTAAACTTTACCCCAGAATCTAAGACGAAATCCAAATCTTTCGAAACTTCTACAGAACAGCAGAGAATTTAACCTTGCTTTTAACATTACCAATTTGATGGTCATTTCCAAATATCATCAATGAAGATTTGTTTCGTTACTTAATTCGTTATGGCATTTATCAGAAAAAGAAAAGGCAGTAGAGTATAATCGGTATTAAGGTGGATTGGATTTAAACTTGTATTTTTGTAACGGATAGTAGGCAGCTCAGGCTCAATCAAACTGATTAAGCATAGAGAATGAATATGTTTTTTCTTTTGTACAGTCCTATAGTTCTGGTTGCTGCTAAGCTCCGAAGAAGCCAACAGAATATACGTAGTCTTCATACCTTATTTTAGGTTAGATCTTCTCTTTCATCACGATTGGGTATTTTCATTGCAGGTGAAATGGTGATCTCCAGCTACAAGTACGACGTCCAGATAGTCAGCAAATCGCTGTTCGAAGTGAAAATGACGGTCAACGTCAGAAACCTGCAGAAAGACGACATTGGGTCCTACAGATGTATATCGAAAAATTCACTCGGCGAAGTCGAGAGCAACATCAGACTTTACGGTATGATTTTTCTCGTCTACAGTGTTTATGTAAATCCCATTAAAACCAGCAAAATGTAAACACTTTTCTAGTGTTTGGTAATGTTTCATAAACATAATAGGTTGATTTATTTAAGCACAGTGTACAAAACGTCAAAACAAAATAATACGAATACGTATAAAGATAATAAGACAATGGATGAATAAAGTCACGCAGGCTTAAAATTTAAAAGTTATTTACTCGTCAGCACTGTAAAAAATACTTTACAGCTTTCTTAAAAGAATCGTTAAAACAAATCAAATCAAATTTATTGCGTGATATTTACAATAAAACAATTGTTTTCACACGTCAACTATAAAGTGTAAGACATCAAAAGATATCACAGTCTATGCATCACATATTATAATACTAATAAATAACCAAATACAACTAATCACAAGTGTAAAACACAAGAATGTACAAATCAAATTAATAAAAACGAAGTTTACAAAATTTAAATAACACTATGCCAATCCCAACCACAAACACAACCTTATCTGCCCAAAATTCATATTCCCAGAGATACCGGGACCTACTAGAAACTACGCGGGCTTATCTCTCGACGAGGAGGACTACAACGATCAGCTGGGGTCCGCCGAACGGGACCACGATGAAGAGCTGTCGAACAACGTGCTGGAGAAGAGTCGGTCGGGCTCTCCTCCGTCGAGTCAGTCGCCTCCAAGTGGAACGCACTCGTTTTCAAGGAACAACGACAACCACGTCGCTCACGACGAAACGTCGACCAATTCGGCAAATCGACCGGTCGCATTCGATCGCTTCGCGGCTCGCTCGTCGCTGCTGGTGCTCTGTTTGATGCGAATAATGTGATGAAATTCTCGGAACATTTTTGTAAGCGACAATAAGTAACTCCTTTTCGTTTGAAGCGTGGCTGTGTTTTTCGATCCCTGAAGTTTCGTTACCGTCGGGGTCGGAATCGCGGAGATTTCCGCGGTAGCAGTTCCGTATCGTATTGTAAAGCCAAATAGAAAATCACCAAGTTTATACGTTCTTCATTTTTCAAAGAAACTTCCACAGGCTACTGTAATACTTTTTACAAAACTTTCGGATTCCTCCTGCGTCGGTTTTTGCTGTGTCGAAATAAGAAGAAACCAAAATTATTGAAATGCTACGTCGATGATACTTTTGTTATTTGGCCTCATGGTCAAGAAACCCTAGTAGATTTTCTTAGACATTTAAACTCGATACACCCTAACATACGTTTTACCATTGAGTCGGAAGTTAATAATAACCTTCCATTCTTAGATATTCCTATCAATAGAAAATCACTCATTAAACCGGATATAAAATTTTATTGGATGAAACTAAAATTTTTGCATGTAATCAGTTCCTCTACTAACGAAAAATCCGAGACTCTATAGAAATCTATAAACAACCCAACAATCTTAACCGCGACTCAGGTCTCTACCTGTCACCAATTTGGCAATCAGTCATCCGAGAAGGTGTTAATGCTCTTCATTAGCGCCCCCCCTCAAACAATATATCAGCAGGTACAGAGTAAAATACGAGCCAGTTTCAGTCAAGCTCTGAAGAAGCCAACAGGATGATTGGCGATACGTCAGCAATTTCTACTCAGCAAAAACCGACGCAGGAGGAATCCAGAAGTTTTGTAAAAAGTTTTATGTCTTCTTTATAAAGGATACTGGCGTTGTTCGTGAATTAATCCGTTATCAAACGCATTCTTTTGGTTTTTTCCAAGGATAAGTCAAAAAAATTAATTGATCGCTTCTCAAAAAAACGAAAAACTTCCTAACTAACTCCAATGGAGAAGTCGAACTGAAAACTACGTTGATTTTCTTCGTCGAAAACGGTGGTATCGGCAGTCTCAAATCAGTTGGGACGTGGATGCTGGAAATTTTTTGCGGTTACGCAGCTGTTATCGCGAAATGCTCTTTTAATATTCCAACCGCCGATCGATACCCGGCACATTTTTAGATTTATTTTGTGTTTGTTAGTTTCATATACCGCTGAATGTTTTCATTGCGCCGTCTGTGATGCTTCTCTGATCGACCGTGCGTCTATCTCAATGGAATATAGGGTGAATCACACAGTATGGAACTCTTTTTTTACACAAAATTCGGTGGCACACCAAGATGTTTTCTTTTCCTTAATACGATTGAGTATATCAAGATAAAAATGTATGTTAAAGAAAAATCTTAAACGAATGTTGATTGTTCTACTTTACGTTACTAGCACTCTCTATGACTGTCTATTTCAATGGCATTTGGAATTGTTTGTTACTGGACGGTATGTAATTTATTTTGCCATCGAATGTTATCGATTTACTTTATGCAAATAACAGTTGCATGTAAGTTTTCAACCATGTAAAATTTGAATTTGTGTTTTTGTAAGATCGTTTTCAGTGATTCCGACAGAATCTCTTACTTTCCCACAACACAACTTGGATTTTTTGTTGTAAATATTGGGCCCGGGCTTACAAAATAATCCATGTTGAATTTTTTTAATCTTAACAAACAGATTCGACTAGAATGCGAACCTGTTAAAATAGACTTCTAAAGTTCCATCGAAGTTTTCAAATTTAATATTGGCTATCGCACATTTTTTAAATAAAACATTTTGAAAACTAATAACAAAGGATTGTTTTTTTCAAAATTTAATTATTAACAACAACCATTATGTTGTATATATGCTTTTGACAAACTCAATGTACATTTCAAAATTATGGTTTATTCCTCGAAAATAATCGTAGGTGCAAAAGCCGAAGAATCCACAGCTTCCGCAAATATACTGTTTCTTTAAAATCATCCTAATAAGCGTGATACCCCGTAAAACCATCTTTATTTTATTTTTGGCGTTATATTCCACAATATGAGAGTGTCATGCACGTACTACGCAAGAATCTCCATTAAAGTAGATGGTATACCCCTTTTCAGCATCCTCCGCCTAACTAGACCAATCTTTCACCACTCGTCTCCAGACCTAAGCTTCGCAACTCATTTGCAGATGGCAGCAGAGGCCAAAGAATTCCAGATTAAAAACTAACCAACGACGATTTATGGCATGGATTTCAAACAATCACACAAAAAATACAGCAATATTTCGACATTCGTCGGCTTCAGTGAATTTCTTCCCATAGGAGAACAAATTTCAGCTTCGTGCCATCCTGTATACAACTGGGAAAACAATCTAAAATTTAAATCGAGGAAGCGCCGGATAAGACAAAGACGAAAATGGCGGCGACATTAGCAAATACCTAAAAATTTCCGTGGGGTTTGGACGACATCTGGCAAATTTTCGTTTCCGGCGAGTTTTCATTTAATTCGGTTTATTAGTCAGCGAGAAGAATTAAGACCGTAGAACGAAGGAACGTTGCGGAATATTAATGTTCAAAAAACACGTGTCCCGACTGGTTTCGTTGAATTTTTCTAAAAAAAATTTTCAAAAATTCAATAACCTCCCCCTTAGAGTGGAACGCCACTGGATTGATTACATTTATTGTAATTACACACAACCAAGAGCCTTGCGAAATCAGCTCATAAAAAAGACGAAATTCTCAAACACCCCACAATGAAAAACATTCAGTCATACTGGAACTATATTTTCCGCATAGGTATGTTATCATGCAATTATAATTATTGAACGCAAATCGGTGTAGGCTACATTAAAAGTGATATTAGATTCCCGCGTGCGTATGTGTGAATGCACCTTATTATTCGGTAAAAGTCATGGGCGTCCGCGAGTTTATTGGCCCGGGCTTTACATCTGAGATTTAAACAAAATAAAAACAATTTTTTTTTTATTTCAAACCCCTTAAATCTAATAGTCCAGCTAGAAGCTACGACACATTTATGAACACAAACTGGCTATCGAGGTTTATGGAACGCTATTAGAGCCCTAGAAATAATTTTTCATGTTGGACGTAGACTGACGATTTCTCCTGCGCACGTTGTATTTATGCCGATTGATGGTGGGCGGGGCTTGTTCCGCTCCACCTCCCACTCATATCTGCCGTATATTCCGAGTGTCACCGACAGGATTGGCAGAGTATTGAAAAGACACGACATCAAAACAATCTTTAAGCCTACAAAGAAGATCCAGCAGACCATCAGGTCAGCGAAGGAGAAGAGGGGCTCACTTTCAGCTGCGGGAGTCTACCGCATTCCGTGTTCATGCGGAAAGGTCTACATCGGAACTACCAAGAGATCAATGGGAACGAGACTTAAGGAGCATAAAGCAAGCTGCAGGCTAGGACATACAGAGAAGTCTGCAGTGGCTGAACACGCACTGGGCAGCGGGGAACACAGGATACACTTTGAGAGCTGTAAGTTACTAGCATCGGTCAACGGCTATCACAACAGACTAGTCAGGGAAGCCATTGAGATTCAAAAACACCCACACAATTTCAACCGAAAGTCTACGTCCAACATCGGATATGGAAGGACCTCTAAAGAAGCTCGCCAACCGACGACGGCCTTTAAACCCGAATCAAGATAATAGCCTGAACAATATTTTGACGTCGATGATCTCGCTGACGCCCGGTATAATAATCGTTTTGTACTGCCAAATAAATTCGTATAAACAATTTTTCATAAAAATATTAGTAAAAGATTACTCTTTCTGGTATTAGTGGGGCGGTCTACCACCGAAATTTTTTTTTTCTTAATGAAACACCCTAAATATTGTTTCGTTGATCGTATCAGCGACATTCTCAATTGTTTCCGACTCATCGACACTTCAAAAGTTTCGTTTTATCCACCTTGAACGAATATAAATATAAACTACGCGATTCGCGGAATAGAACCTTTCGATTATAACATACTTGTTTATTTGGCAGTCGGATATTCAAACGGTCTGTTGCCTTATCAATAAATATATAAATGTCAAACGTTAAACGCTTGTTAGTCGTAAAAGATAAGCCTTTTGTACAGGTAGGTTTCGTAAAAATAAATTCCTGTAATTCCCGACGGGACCTACCTAATTTCGATTCCCTTTACTTGCGCTTCTGATAAAAGGGTATCAATTTTACTTTCCCCTGTCATATGGCTTCGAGAATGATGACGTTATGTTTGTATAACGTTTTAAAGCTTTCTTGTGTTTGGTCGACGTCTTTCGTCGTTTTTTGTTTTCGGGGTAGTCAGGCAACCCCCGCGACCCTCGCGAAGGCGGGAACCTGACGTTATTGTTAGTGTCTTTGTTTTTTGCTACCCCTTAACCGATTCGTTCTCATGCCGAAACCGGGTTTGCGTATTTTCTTCGTATGGTTGATTATTATTAGCACCGTAGGGTCAAAATCGTTGTAAAATTCTAATGTAAATATAATATAAAAAACAATGGAAAATGAATCGTATTTATTATATATGACCATTGATTTATAACAAAGTTAGTCGTATCGGATGTAATGTAACGTGCAACTGATCATTTCGCAATTCGATTTTCGTTTGTGTTATTAAATAAATCGTTTCCTCCTGTTGCTTTTTTAATTCCGTTTTTTTAGCGAATCTTAGCTAGAATGTCTCTAACAAAGATGCCGAATGAGTGGTTTTAATATGATGGTTCTAAAGAACTTTTGATATGCCATCGGCAAGGTTTCGAATGTGAGGAAAGACCACAGTAGCAAGTGTGGGTTGCTTTCCGCCTTCTCTCTTTCGAATTTGACATTTACATATTACATATACATATCACAAATATTATTACATATTACATATTACAAACGTTTGAACCACCAGTTTTACAAACACTAGCTTACAGATGCACGATCACATTTAGACACTCATATAACACCGAAAACACTAGTAACAATCAATACAAACTTCTTCTACTGTCGATCGGGTTCCAATACATATATAAGTCCTGTGAAAGAGAAACAAGTGAGGTGTTTTACCCGGTAAGTTTTTCTTTTCGCATTCTACGAAGTACTTCTTCATTTGTCACACGGTCTACCCAAAAGATTCTCAGCGTCCTGCTGTAGATCTCGAACTCGTTTAATCTTTTGGTAGTTGCTTCTGTAAGATCCAAGATTCCGTACAATATAGTGGATGAGAAAACA